TAGTCATTAGTCATCATTCCAACCTAATCAGTTACAATTTGTACCACAATCAGAGGACAAAACATGTTTGGCTGCATCCCAAACCACACGGTTTGTCATTGGCTTCTTTTCATATTAGTCAAATGGACTGACAAATAGATGGTTCTCAGTTATGCTGAGTTAAGAAACACACCAAACTATCAGTGATGGTCAAAAAAGAGCTGTTAAGACTGTAAACTAATCAACCACATGCAGCCGTTTTTGATTAAAGTGTATGAACAGTGAAGTTTCAAAATGGGCCTACAGCAAAAACACAGTAGCGGGAAATGTGTTAGCGGTATGTGCCAGCAAACAGCTCAGCATCTGACCAAAGCAAACTGCTGAATATCTTTTAAAGATGTGATGCTATTAAGTTTCTATCCAGCGACTATATGTCGCTCCAAAAGACTCATGTCGTACAAAGAGCAGGTCTGCAAAACTGTGTTTCCCATCAGAGAGATTAAAAGCACTGAACAGAAATGTGTAGTCTGACAAAATCCCGATAGCTGTGGCAAGTTTAATTATCTGATGAATTACGTGGTTTCTGACATTGTATAAAAATGGACAAAAATGTTTGTTGCCACCCTGAATTTTGTCTGTACATCTAATGTTTTGAAATGACCAAAGGCTAGGAAGCTCTGTCAGAAGTCATACATGTGCTACAGATCTGAAAGAATGCAGATAGGAGAGGAAGATGCTCCAGCTACACAGCAGAAGGGGAAAAAAAAAGCATAAGTATTGTTTAGCATGTTATTGTTCTAATATTATGGGTTAGCTAACCAACAAGCCTTAGCCGGTGTGCAGGGACTGGACGCCAAGCACACCCTGCTGTACATAAAAGTATGAGTGATTTCTGCAATTCACTAAAACAACAACAACCATGAACATATTATCCGGGTGGTATTACTGAAAACATTCAGAGATTCAGAGAGCAGAAATCTTAAAACATTCCGAGATTGAAGATTCTGTGCATTTCCGAGTTTATATCTGAAATCTGTTTTTATGTCTTAATTCCGCGATTCCGTCTCTGCTCTGAACACAGGGCACTAATAATATAAAACCTTGCAATCGCATCTATCAAGCTAATCTCTCAGTGGGATTATTGTAGGATTATCTACAGTAAAACAATTCCCAGCCTGCTTTTATTAAACCTCCACGTGTTTAAAAAGCCTGTTCATAGCTCTCAACAAGAACAAGTCTCATTTCTTAAAAGCATGACCACTACAGCTAGTCAGCTAGTTTACTTATGCTCTCTCATTCTGCATCATTAGCATGTGCTTTCACTGTGGCTATTCAGACACTTCTACTAAATGCAAAATATGCAGTGAAGGAGATTTTAGTTTATTCCTATAAAAACTGAAAAACTCTGCACAAATACAAAAATAAATACAATAAAGACATTTTACCGGAAACAGGCAATGGTAGCCACTGTATTAGAAACCCTATTGTATCTCCACCTTACTGGTATACAGTTAAAGACTATAGTCTGTTGATGCAGAATTTGTATTGGAAATTCTCTATGCCTTCATCAGTGGTCAGCTTCTGACCAAAGAACTGGACATTTTTGATTGGTGGACTACTTACAAACAAGCAGTGACACACACTACCTAGTCAGTGCATTTACATGCACCTAATAATTCGGATTTGAGCAGTTATCTGACTCTTCAAATGATCATCTAAACAGCATACTTCTTAAATTCAGTGAGGTCTAGAAATCTACTAGAAATCTACTAGAAATTAGCTCAGTAATAAGATTTCTCAGCACATGTATAGTCTTACTCAGATTTCTTTTGGATTTTTAAGCGTATACCTAAAGCTTTCATTTTTGAGAGAGGAGAAAATCTGATTGGATCTGAAAAAATCCACAGGTGTTTCTGTCCATCCTTCCACTGTGAGAAGACAATTCAATGCTATGGATATGAAAGGATGTGCAGCTGTCAAGAAGCTGTTACCGAGAAAATGAGAAAGGTGAATAAGATAATTTGCACTAGAACACTAAGCCTAGACGTCTGATCTCTGGAGAATGACTCATGAGTGTAAATTTACTTGGAACATGAGAAGCAGGAAATGAAACCAACTTCTAAGACTGAACTTCAGAGGTGTGGAAAAACATCTCTAAAATTATCCCAGATTTCTTTGAAAAACCAAAAGCGCTAAGGGTAAACATACTAAATACTGAAAATGTTAATATATTTAGTTTTTGAAGCTTCTGTGTAATTTTTTTTCTGTTTTTTTAATGACACTGAAGAATTAATAACTAGAAATTAATTAAATGAATGGTGGTCTCTGGACATAAGGTGGACATAAAGTGGACACTCAAATGTAAAAGATTCTCATCAGGATATATGAATACCAGTTATTTAAAAGTGCACAGATTTGAGTGGCAAAAATAGTTAAAATGCCCATCATTAACCCCAACCCAAACAGAACCACGACTCACTCCTGGTTCTGCCCGCTGGGGTGCCAGTGCACGTCTGGGACGAAATAAATCCGGATAATGACTTCCCTCTGTCTGGAGCGTGCTCAGACACACGACAGACATGAAGGCTAATTAGCTAATGAGTGCGGCGGTTAATTCGCCTTAACGAAGGCTTTCGGTTTTCCAGACACCGCGGAGCAGGCTCTGGCAGGGACCGGGCTGGGCTGGGCCAACCACACATACACACATATACACGCACACATTAATAAGCCCAGCAGGGAGTGTGTGTGTTTAGGCTTCGGGAATATGTAGCATCTGCTCATCAGAAAAAAGCTGTCCAGAATAAACAAGCGGCCAAACAAACAAACAAACAGACGGGAATAAACACAAACAATACTGTGAGCTCCTCACTCATGAATTCCTCTAACACTGACCATTCTTCACTGCAGGGTATATAACCTACCTGCCCCCCAGTCTAACCAGCCTCAATCCCTGCTGCGTGAATGAGAGAGAGAGAGAGAGAGAGAGAGAGAGAGAGAGAGAGAGAGAGAGAGAGAGAATGAGATAAAGTCAATGAGAAAAAGAACAGAAAGCAAGAGAGAAGAGATAGAAAGAGAAAGCAAGAGAGAAGAGATAGAGAGAGAAAGAGAGACTGACAGAGTGAGAGAATTAGAGAGAGAGAGGAGAGAGAGACACTGAAAGTAAGAGAGAGAAAAAAGAAAAAGAGAGAGAGAAATAAAGAGAGAGAGAGTATCGGCATTGGTACTGATTTAGGTAACAATGGTGATGCTTTTGTGCTAAAACATCTGCATTTATTCATTTTACTACACCTGTAACCCTATAGAAATCAATGTTTTATTTCTCCATAATCCTGATCCAGATATTTCTGTATCCTTTCAATTCCTGCACTTCATAAAATGTTTATGTATTGGCATCAGCACATGCACATACATGAAAAAAAACGACATTAGCAGCCCACAATTCCTATATCGGTGCTACCCTACAGATTTTCCACACCTTCATAATTATCTCATCAAATACAGATGGTAGTCTGTTTATTAGCTCCACCTCCCTTGCAGGTACATTCACTGGCCATTTTAACAGAAACACCTACAAAACGCCCTACAATTACAATCACATTCATCACTTGTAAGTTAATGCAGTGAAATGAATGAAATCCAGACATTTAGCACAGTAGCTCATAAGAAAGAACAATCAAAAAAGGTCTTCTTTGTAGTTTCTCCTAGACAACAATGGCATCAGAGGGAAAGACAGGATGATCAGATATTTCTCCTGAGATCAAGACTCATGATTCCATGTGTCTCCTCTTGAGTTTTAGTAGAGGCCTCAAAGACACATATTGTGCTTAAATTTACCGAGATAATAATGTTCATGTTTATCTGCAACTGAACTAAAGACAGAAACTGCACTACAAACTCAACCATTTCTCAATCAGCACTAAGATCTTTCTCAGTTGTGATGCTATGAATAACTATTACAATTTGGACCAGAAATATTGTCCACTTTTTCTCTAATAATATTTGTCCTAGGGCAGGGGTTCTTCACCTGTCAGCACCCCCTTTGGCAGTGGGATGGCAAAGAAGGAATCACAAAATGTTTAATCATTTTTAAAGGGTTGCCCACCATTAAGTTTCCTGAGCCATCTTTTGAGCAACAAGTTCTTCCTCTGGAAGCCCAGAGTGTTCTGAACATTCTGCTTGGACAATAAATACGTTATCAAATACTGGTTTGAAATCTAAAAAATCTGTCCATTGACCATTTGCTGATACCAATATGATTCCGATATCACTGTGTATCCTTCACTGTAATAATGATGAATGATATTACACAGCTCCAGTCTGAGGGATATGGGCTCTAGACTCCTGCTGCTTTACTCAAACATCAGAGAGAGCAGCTCTCCGGGGGAGATAGGAACATATCAAAACTTCAGAGGGACACCACAGCACCTGTCTCACTCTTAAACCCCCACACATCCCCACATCCACACACACCGTACACTTTGAGATCAAAAGTCAGATCAGGCCCTGCTCTAACACACTTCTAGCATTTTGAGTAATGATATTCAAGCATCCACAAGAGTTAATGGACAAATACCTAAGAATAACATCTGACTGGTACAACTTTGGAGGTCGTCCTCAGTGGACAATGTGTCAACATATTAGCTGGCAAAATAAAAACATTTTCACAGTTTCTGGACCTAGCTAACATCAGCTAGAATAGTTAGCCTAGTTATCATAAAGCCACGCTACATCTGCCTTCTCAGTCGGTCTTCCTGTGTTAAAATGTAACAAATACCTGAACAAAGACTGGCATCTTAAATGGTTAACCCATGCAAATCTTTACATAGTAGTGGGAGATAAGGTCAAAATTATATCATGGTATCATTAAAAAAAAAACTTAAACTGAAAAAATGTGTTAAATTGGGCTGGAGTCGGAAGCACTGCACTACACAGCCAATTCACTTGCCACCTTTCAACAATGATACAGTTTCCATTCATCTGGCTTCTTTTTACTGCATGACCACACTGACCAGGCCACTTACCTGCCCTTGATCTGCCTCCATGGTGCACCAGGTGCACTCTCTTGGCTCAGGTGGAGCGCCAGCATGCGCAGAAAGATGAGGAAGGAGTAAGCAGAGCGATAAAGCTGAGTGTGGCTGGCGGAAGTCATGGGCTCAGAACTGCAGCAGCTTTTAGCCTGTTCCAGCAGGGTCAGGGGAGTGGGGCTAATGCTGCCCAAACCAGACACACCCAACCACGGCACAGAGAATGATCCATTCTGCATCCAGACAGAAAAACACAGAGAGGCAGCGATAAAATCCTGTGAGCTACACTCAGCTCCAGAATCACCAGCATCCTTCATGAAAATGAGCTAAAACCAATATATAATCAATAAACCACAAATCGATAAACTGCACATTTATTTTTACACTACCTTACTACCACAGGTTTTCAGTTGGGTTCAAATCTGGAGACTTTAAGGATCATCGCAAAACTTTTATTTTGTGTTCTCGCAACCACTTCTGTGTGGATTTTGATGTGTGTTTGGGGTCATTATCTTGCTGAAAGGCAGAGGCCATCAAATTTTGGATTACAATCACCTGGTATTTAGTGGAACACATTATGAAACTGATTTTCAAAACAGCCCCCAGACCACTAGCAGTAAAATTTTTGGCAGCTGTTTAGTTTTAGGTTTTACCCATGCTGATGGATGTTTCTTTTCTTTCAAATTAAGAGATACAGCGGACAAAAGCTCTACTATCCATCAGAGTAGTACTACAACTCTTTGCCATTATACATGCACTGACCATCAAAGGTTGGTAGACACCTAGCTTCTCAAAAAGCTTTTTTATTAAATTAGCATGATTTCTTTGTTGGTTTGCATGAACTTAGCATATTAAATACCCACCAGGTTTTTACTGTAGTACTCCCACAGTGTGTTTACAGCACTGACATTGGACCCCCACATCAGGCTGAGAGAGAGACAGCAGTGCACATGCATCCGCATCTGCTCCTCTGGCACTGCGGCCTGAAGTACAACAAGGACATAAAGGGTAATGATGTTTAAATGAACACATGCACATATACATACCTAACAGTAAGAATGTTTTGGTAATACTGCTCCACGTTTAGTTGCTGTGCTTGAGCAGGAAATCACCAAACTGTGCTAGTTTAAAGTCCTCCAGGACAAGAACTGTGTTTTGAGTAGACAATACAGATTCACTCTCCAAATAAGAGCATTTAAACGCAAGCTTCACCTTCATATCGCAGCTGGACTTCAGCAGCTCCAACACAAAACTCCAGTTATCCTCTAGCTGTTTCTGAAAGACAACAAATAAACAAAAACAAGATATTGAGCACCTAAAAGTACCTTCGTAAAAAATTAATCTTCAGATTTTCAGGTAAGTACAAGAAACTTATGTGCATGCATAAGAGATTTACACAGAACAGTTTCTTGTGCTGTCCTGGAAGCTTCATGATTTTAAATTTCTGCAAAGTCCCCTTAGGGCAGTGGTCACCAACTGTGGTCCTAGAGAGCTACCTTGCTGCAGATCCTAGCTTCAGCCACAGCTCTAGCTAATCAATCTCTTCCTGTCCCTGATTGGCTGGATCAGATGTATTAGAGTTAAATAAGGGACAGGGAAGCTGAACTCTGCAGGAAGGTAGCTCTTCAGGACCAGGGCCAGGACCAGGGTTGGAGACCACTGCTTTAGGAGCTCAGTACAAGCAGATTACTTGAGTGATGTGATATCCTACATTAATACCACATTTATTATACCCAACATAGAGGGTTCTACAGTGAGCCAAGGAGTACTGGCGCTCTTGATTTAAAATAATAAAAAAATAAAAGAGCACGCAGAAAAATCTATGAGCACGAGCTTAATATGAACTTTTTATACCCTCTTTTCTCTTTATTCTTCCTATCAGTCACAGAGGATGTTTAATTGAGCATTTAGATTTTTTTCTACATTGTCCAAGCTCATAGATGAACAAGACTAAGATCCTATATTTTTGTCATTTAAAATGTGCTGTCTTTTTCTTGCAGTTTCTTTATTTTCATTTGATTTTCTAATTTCTAATCAACACAAAGTATGTCTTTATACAAGCAGTTCTTATAAGTTTGGTCTGTAACCCAGTTTGCCAGGTGGTCTTTACTTACTGTAACATCTTAGTTACACATTTATTGATATATCACATGACCGTCTGATCTCAATTATTTTAAATAATAGCAATTATTTAATTTGAACGTAATTGTTTTCCACAGTCATCCCAAAAGCATTATGAGGTTTGGTTTGAGCCACAATGTGTAAATAAAAGAAATCACTTCTTCCGTCTAACTTTTCTGGTAACTTTTAACTTTGTGTTATAACATACAGTTTAGGGGGAACCAGCTAGGGCTAATTATGGCATGTTTGGCACGTAAAAGGTAGAAAAAAAGTTTTAACAGTCTCAAATATAATGTAAGCTTTTGTTGACTGTGTTATTGTAGACATTTGTTATGCAAAGTACTCTGAATCATCTCATTAGCTTCAAAGTAAAGAGCTAGCTAAGCAAGAGAAATAATGTCAATTTATCTGCTTTAGGTTTGCACTTTATTAGTTGTTTAAAATGAACAAAACAGACAATTACTAATCAAAATTCTTTAACAATTAATCATTAGCTAAAAATTCATTTGTATTCACACATAATGAACACGCATAAATAATATACCTAATGTGAAGTGGTAGCTGACTCAAAATTTGTTTGTTTTTTTTGTTTGTTAAACAATCGCACTGGTGCTCCTAAATAAAAATTCAGTTGACGTGTTTAAAAAATAAACAATGAGCAAACATCACAAACTCTGTATAGATGAGACTGTTGTAGAAACGAGGCTTTTGAGCTATGCTGGATGAAGCCATGTGGTGCTGCAGGCTGACACCTGCCTGTATGAAAACTCACCTACACGGTACAATGTTTATTTTAGCGTGCCCTGCTTTCAGGCATCAGACAAAATAGCTTTGGGTCTTGTGAAAAAACACAAGTGAATTTGTGTTTCTGTTCTAGCACAACATTTGAAAAAGGCCAATTCAAACAGCCTTAGACATTCAGAGAAGAAGGAATCAGGCTTAGCTAAGCAGCCCCAAACAATAATGTTTGTGTGACATTAGCAATTTTGTTCTTTATTACTAGAGTAATTACAGTTTGGTGGCCAAATTAAAGATGACAGTCCTACTACCACAATTTTTACTGAATTGCAGTTTATTATATTTTGTTTCACCAAGATTAAACTTCAACTCACACGCTCTTCGTTTACTCCAGTGGCCATTTCAGTGTTAGGAACCACCAAAATTACCAGCCGGAAACATTTTTTTTTTTTGTTATTATTAACAAAGATATACTTGATGAGTTATCTAACTAAAGTTCAGTGTGGGGAGGTAATGTATTTATTAGGCTACCAAGGTTTCCCAGTGACTTTAGTCTCTTCCAAATCCACGATGTCAGTGACTTTTGATGCAGTTTTTAGAGTATTTAGGAGAAGGATGTAACAAGAGTCAGTTTACAACTTTCAGTACCCAGAATAGAAAAAAAGACAAAAAAATAAATAAATCTACAACCCCATTTCCAAAAAAGTTGGGATGCTGTGCAGAATGTAAATAAAAATAGAATGCAATGAAATGCAAATCATGTAAACCACATTTTTAAAGGAAAATACTATAAAGACAACATATCAAATGTTGAAACTGAGAAATTTTATTGTTTTTTGAAAAATATATGCCCATTTTGAATTTGATGCCAACAACACGTTCCAAAAGAGTTGGGATGGGGGCATGTTTGCCACAGTTTTTCATCACCTCTTCTTTTAACAACAGTCTGTAAGTGTTTGGGAACTGAAGAGACCAATTGCTGTAGTTTTGAAAGTGAAATGTTTTCCCATTCTTGTTTGACATAGGATTTCAGCAGCTCAACAGTTCAGGATCTCATTTGGTGTATTTTTCACTTCATAATGCACCAAATGTTATCAGTGGTGAAGGTCTGGACTGCCAGTTTAGCACCCAGACTCTTTTAATACAGAGCAATGCTGTTGTAATACCTGCAGAATGTGGTTTGGCATTGCCTTGCTGAAATAAGCTAGGTCTTCCCTGAAAAAGACATCATCTGGATGGCAGCATATGTTGCCAAAACATGTATATATCATTCAGCATTAATGGCGCCTTCACAGATGTGCACGTCACCCATGCCATGTGCACTAATGCACCCCTATACCATCATGAATACTGGCTTTTGAACTGTGCACTGATAATAAGCTGAGTGGTCCTTAGCCTGGAGGACAAAGTGTCCATGATTTCCAAAAAGAATTTCAAATGTTGATACATCGGACCACAGGACACCTTTCCACTTCCCCTCAGTCCGTTTTAAATGAGCTCAGACCCAGAGAAGGTGGCAGCATTTCTGGATCCTGTTTATGTACAGTTTCTTCTTTCGATTTTAGAGTTAACTTGCATTTGTGGATGCAGCGACAAACAGTTTTCATAGACCGTGTTTTTCAGAAGTGCTTCTGAGCCCATGCAGTGATTTCCACTACAGAATGGTGTCTGTTTGTAATGCAGTGCCGCCTGAAGGCCCACAGATTACGGCCAGCAAATACTGGTTTTTGGCCTTGTCCCTTGCATACAGAGATTTCTCCAGATTCTCTGAACCTTTTAATGATATTATGTACCACAGATGATGAAAAGCAAAAGTTCTTTACTATTTTACATTGATAAATGTTATTCTTAAATTTTGCTTATTATTTATGCTATTTGCTCACGCAGTCATTCACAGAGTGGTCAACCCCTCCTCATCTTCACTTCTGAAAGACTCAGCCTCTCTGGTATGCTCTTTTTACACCAAATCATATTACTGACCTGTTGCCAATCAATCATTACACAACTTCACCAGCCTTTTGTTAGCCTGCGCCCCAAATTTTTTGGAACATGGTGTTGGCACCAAATTCAAAATGGGCAAACATTTTACAAAAAACAATACATTACAACATTTAATATGTTGGCTTTGTACTATTCTCAACAAAATATAGGGTTTAAATCATTTAAATGATTTGCAGATCATTGCACTTTGTTTTTATTTACAATTGGCTCAGCGTCCAAACTTTTTTGGAAATGGGGTTGCAATCAATGAGTCAAGTCAAGAGGCTTTTATTGTCATTCCATATGTACAAGTACACAGTGGAGTGAAATTACATTCCTCCAGAAACAAGGTGCAACATGGAACAAAATAGACAGTACATGCAGACGCAAATGTGCAAAAAAATTAAACTAGAAACAGTACAATAAGTATGATAATTAAAACAGACATTAAACACAGTAAACAGACAGAGAGAGACCCCGATGATCTTCTCAGCTGTCCTCACTATACGCTGTAGGGTCTTGCAGTTGGAGACGGTGCAATTCCCAAACCAGGCAATGATGCAGCTGCTCAAGATGCTCTCCACAGTCCCCCTGTAGAACATGGTGAGGATGGGAGGGGGGAGATGAGCTTTCTTCAGTCTCGGCAGAAAATAGAGGCACTGCTGGGCTCTCTTGGCTATGGAGTTGGTGTTGTGGGACCAGGTGAGGTTCTCTGTGATGTGGACACCAAGGAACTTGATGCTCCTGACGATTTCCACAGAAGAGCCAGTGATGGTCAGTGGGGTGTGGTCACCTTGCACTCTTCGGATGTCAACAACCATCTCCTTAGTCTACATTCAGAGACAGATGGTTGGTTCCTTACCAGTCCGTTCGCCGCTGCACCTCCTCTCTGTATGCTGACTCATCATTCTTGCTGATCAGACCCACCCAGTCGTGTCATCAGCGAACTTGATGATGTGGTTTGAGCTGTACTTTGCAGTACTGAGCAGTTAGCTCATGTACTGAATGATACATGAATGATACTGCATTCATGTTTGTGTTATGCTGCCCTTACAGCAAAAGACTTTTCAAGCAATTTCACTGTCGCAAATTTCCAATGTTGGAATAAAATCATGAGAGTCTTGCTGGAGTTGCGTCGCGCTCGATCGTTTAGTGTCAGGTGACCATGATGGCTGTCTTAGGTCAGTCTTTTTCTTATCTTGACGCTATGACAAAATCAACCGTGTTTAATAATATCGTAAGTTTTAAGTCTTGGCTCATGCAAATAGTGACGTGCCAGGGTCGCGTGTGAGAGCGAGCGGGCGAGCGCATGTACGTGTGCGAGAGAGAGAGCGAGAGAGATCTAAGCATGAAAACCCCTTAAATGTCAAAATGGTCATAATCCACATTGTGCCTTAAAAGCATCAACGTCTGCAGTATCATCAAAACACTAATATGCAGAGAAAATGCAGAGAGAGAGAGAGAGAGAGAGAGAGAGAAAGAGAAAGAGAAAGAGAAAGAGAGAGAGAGAGAGAGAGAGAAAGAAAGAGAGACAGGGAGAGAGAAAGAGAGAGAGAGACAGTGAGAGAGAGAGAGAAAAAAGCCAAATCTGCTCCACTTTAAGACAATACTCATATTAGCTTAAAATGTAAACTGGCTGTTTTCATAGTTCAGGTTCACTGAGCCTGTAACAGTGATGTTTTCTGCTACACTGGTTTCTTATTTTGTTTGTTTGTTTTTTATGGTTTAGCTCATTATTAATTCGCCTTCTCCAGTGTTCGAATGTCAAAACGCCTCCCACAACACGTCCTGAATGTTACAGCTTAGCTAGTCAAGATTCATATTAACATAACATACATAGTAAAGCTAGTCCACATGCAGATACATTAGTCCTGGGGCTTTTTGTGAAATTTGATAAGATGATAAACCGCATGGGGGGAAAGTCCAGGAAATTCCATAATTTTTCCAGCAATTAATATTTTCCATGACCTTTCCAGGCCAGGAAAACCAAATATCTACATTTCATGTCTTTTCCAAAATTTTCATGACCGTACAAACCCTGCTTAGACTAAAACAACCTTTGGTGCTGCTAAGCAACCGGTGGTCAGTGAAATTATACGTCTCTTGAAAACCTGCTGTTATCAAGTATAACGTGTAGAACATTTTTCAGCCAATCAGAGATCAGAACTAATTGTTGTGTACTACAGTCTGATGATGTCATACCTCATTCTGTAGCGTCCCATTGCGGTTGTACATGCCGAGTTGGGCAAGGTGTGTGATTAGCCACCAGGTGAAACCCAGTGGATCCTTACAGTTTGCTGGCAGACCAGGGTCACGGTCGCCTGTAGGTGCCCCTTTCAGGACAGCCTGCAGCAGCGCATTCACATAGCCCCAAAACGACTGAGGAAACAAGGTACAGTGCAGTGAGAATAACTCAGCAGTGAGTACACTCAGAGTAAATATGTGAATGTGTGTGGGCATATACCTGTGTGTGTTGGGTTTTGCATCTATGTTCGAGCAGATGAATGAGGAGAATCCAGAGTTCTTTGGTACAAGCACAGTAATAATGGTTGCTGGTCAATGTCTCAGTTGGTCTCACCTGAAAGAGAAAAAGAGAAAAAGAGAGAGAGAGAGAGAGAGAGAGAGAGAGAGAGACCTGGTAAATGTCACATTCAAACACAGTTATAGTCAAGAGATGGTTCAGTCAACACATGTACGTTTCCTTCCTTAAACCAAATGCAATAAATAAGCCAAGGTATATTTGGTATCTGATGTAGGCTATATTTAAAACACAGTTATTGCGATTTGAAAATTGCGCCCCCTTTCATATTGCGATTTCAACATAAGGACTATTAATCTTTCAGCCCTAAATGCACCAATATGTGAACTGTGGGCCAATGCAGATATCCAGTATTTTTCTACCTATCAGCTGATGCCAATACAGATACAAAAACATTTGAAGAGAAATGTAGCATTTATTTATAGGGGGTTACAAATGCAGTAAAATGAAAAAAAAATGCAGCACAGTAGCCCAGCACCTACAACTCTTCTGGAGTACACTGACTACACCATTAAATATCGTCCAAATCTTAAAAGCAAACATCTGCTGACATTGATATGATTCTGATATCACCATGTATGCCCAGTTATCTATGAACATGGACAAAATTTAGGCTTCATGATGGCTGCTACTACTTTTTTTTTATGAATAGTTTGGCAAAAATCTAATTTCCATGATTTTCCACTTACCCCAGTTTGTCTAACTATTTACTTCCAGTGTTTGTCAGCAACGTTATCCTCATAGCTGACCGATTAACTACATTTACGGTAAAAGTAAAATTGTGTACCTTTGCTAAATCATGTGGAAAGTGGAAATTCCTGTACCAAAACCACACAGGTCTATTTTAGTCTGACTCAGCACAGGCAACTGTGATTCACGTATGCAGACTGCATGATGCTAATTCGTGGGAGATGTGCTTCCAATACTTGCTAGCCACATTAACCTTGTAGCTCCAGTGCCACACAAAACTGGAAAAAAAATGTCTTGGCTGACCAACTACATTGGGGTTTAGGAGGGAAAATTGGGCAAATTTGATCTTTTGGCTGCACCATCATATTAATGTCTTTACCATTGTGCACAAACACACCTTGCTGTACTTGTTCATGGCCAGAATGATAAGGTCACACAGGAGATTGTTGAGATGATCTTCAAACAGGCTGATGTTAGTCAGCGTTTCTCCAGTTAAATCCACAAACTTATGAGCGTACACCACCTGACCTATGGAGGGTCAACATAAAAAGCATACAAATGTGTCATCAGGAAAAGCTTTCTTTTAAGTGGTAGACACTTTTTGCTTTAGAAAAGTATCAGATGACTGGACGACAGTGATTGATTAATTGTCATGGATTTGCTTGTTTTATCAAACAATAACAACAACAATAAAATGAAAGACTGCTTTCAGGGATAAAGTGTACATATATCTATGAGTTTATTCCTACTACAGCATATTTGAATAAAAATATGGACAAAATGATCAACAAGGTCAACAGCTTTGTTGTTTAGATGGCTGTTATTCTTTCCAAACAATATATGAGTGAGTGACGTGATACAGTTTGCATAACACTACCTGGTCACTACTAGCTTTCATTTATTGTTAAAAACATTAGCATTTTTGGAAAATTCATCTTTTATAACAGGCACTTACCCATCATCCTCTGGCCAAGCAGATGCAGTATTTCCAGCACAGACCAGTGGATGTCCAGGTGCAGGTGTAATAAATGCCATGACGGAGGGAAAAGCTGCAGAGAGACATTCATTTACTCTCTTTCACCTCCTTTCCATTTATCAGAAAGTCAAAAATTTAATTCACATGGTTTTCCCAAATGTAATCGTCTGAAGTTTGCTTCTTTAGTTTGGCTCTGCAGCTATAAGACTTATGTAGCCAACAAGCAATGAAAACTTTTACTCCAACAATTAGCATATAAATAGACCAACAATACAACCAAAATTGACAACAAAAGATGGCTGTTACTGCTGTTCTTAGGCAACACACTTTTGTCCTTTTTTTGGAGAGAACAGTGTCATACAGTGTCAGAAACCACCTAATTAAGTATATTTGAAATTATCACAGTTCGAGGCAAGTGTGCAATGACTTAGGTTTAGATTTAGGCTATGCATGACTTTTTAGCTACATTAGCTACACTTGCAGCTCCAGGGTAGAGCTAAAGATGAAAACCAGACACCATTGTCTTGGCTGATTTACTGTATTTAGAAAACAGAAGAAATAGGTAAATTTCATTTCTGGCAGAACTATCGTTTTAATACAGCAGAGACACTTGCTGCTGTACCTTTCCTTGGTGGTGGATGGTCAGTGCGCTCTGGACGTTAGCGGGCAGGTCTTTGAGCCGGCCAATAAGCAGTGTGATGCCAAACAGTTCCTCCACTAGAACAGAGGGCAGCTGGGCCTCCAACTCAGAGTACGCATGAACAAAGCCTTCATCTACAGGCTGAGCAACCTCCAGGAACCTGATGAGAAGGATACATCACAGACCGATGCAGGGCCCATCAGACATCAAAACTGTCATCGATACTAATTTTGAAGAGCTAAGAATTATAAATGAATGATTAATTATGGAATGAAAACCAATCAGAGCAAAAATCCTGGAAGAATAAGAGTAAATGCATATCCACTTGATTTTTAGACAGTAAACAAGAAATCTTAAGACTACAATGTGGATCACACTCGGCTCTAGCCCTTTCAGTTACAAACATTTTAGATTGTTTTAAAAAATCAAATGTACATTGTGACCTAACCATGCACTGACTGCACATAAGGTCAAATATGAACACATTTCTCTTATTTTATCAGGAAGATAATTCTGTTTTACAACCAGCCAGCAGGAAAACAGAACTTAGTGTCACAGAAAACCCACTAAACTATTTGGAGTTAAGCCCCTCCCATTCAAAGGTTTTCCAGCATGCAGTAACACCCTACTCAGGATTTCTACTCATGCCATTACATCTGCAGAGCCCAGTTATCAGCCAAAAGATATCTTGGTTGGGTCCTGATTTCCAATTCAATACAATTCTTCAAGATGCTTTAAAAAAGTCAAGAAGAAAAGGTGATTTAACATGTATTTAGCTATAGTCCATATGCCAAACAAAAGGCAGGCTGGGTAGATCAGGCCCATGGCACAGTCCTATCTGGGCCATGAAATCATTTTAACCTCTTCAACTCCTTGAGACCACCGGTAAAATAAGAATTTACATTTATTTCAGGCAGCTACTGAATAATTTACCTTACGTTTTGGCTATGTAAATTCAGAAGGACAAACCAAAATATACCCTAGAGAATAAGAGGTTAATTTTCTATTAATATAAGCATGTTCCACAGTATGCTGCACTTCAGTCCCCAGCACACACTGCAACAAAATGTATGTCCCCCACCCCCAATAACAAACTATGGGATTCATGTAATATAATATTTCAAAGTCTACTACAAGTGCCTAGATTTTGCTGTTGACATTTTGTCATATTTTGAATAAACAATGGCCAGTTCAGGATATAAAAAAATGTAATTTAAAAATTAAGTGAAAACATAAGTCTCCTTTGGCCCACGGACTTGTTGAGACTTTTTAATATGGCCCCTTTAGTGGTTGAGTTTGACACACCTAAGCTATAGTAAAGCTTTACCTGTGAATAAAGACCTTAACGTAGGTGAGAAACAGCACACACTGCTGTCTCAGCTCCTCTGCTTCATAATGAAGACCACTAGCCTGACCTAAAAAGGAAACAACCACAAGTGTTACTCACACATTCATTCACTGAGAACACACAAATCAAAATAAATCAAAAGTCCATTTTACTACAATCACTCTTTTCAAACTAAACAGAAATACCATGTACTGTGGAAGGTATATACTGTGCATTAGATTTTGGCATATTAGTGCTAGGCATTTAAATCAGTTGGGCTGAGAAAAAAACATGTAAACAGCAGGAAACAGAAAACACCTTAATTGAGACACGTTATGGGTCTTACAAAAACTTGCTTTAGTTTCTGACTGGGGCTATTACACCTTTAGAGGGCAGCAGAGAGTGATGTTTGTTTATTTTAGCTTAAACTGTTTCTGGCGGCAGTTGTTTCGACAGCTAGAAAGAAAGACAGGTATTCAGGCGATTTAAGCACTGTAGGCTTATACTTCAATAGTTGCACACAATAAACAAAACAAAACAAAAAAAAAACTGTTCATCGCAACTACTTACATGGCAACAAGCCTATTTTCTATACAACATATTAATGTAACTACGACCCAAATTCTACTAATAACATTTTGTTATTATGTGCTTTTTATTGTTTATTTGAGATGACAAAAATTGCTTGTCGCTAGCTTGGCAGCTAGATAGCTATGCAATTCAAAGTTGCACTGCATTACTAAGAATGCACATGGAAATTTTGAATATGACCAACTTTAGCACATGTGAATATACTACATACTGTGGTAACATACAGGCACCTTAGCACAAAGACGATTCCTAAATGGTAGAGCGAGCATCACACTGAAACCTCTCTTTCTTCCTAGTTAACACGATCTTAACACTAAGATGCTTTTGGGAAACTGAGCCCTGATTAGTTGGGTGAGGTGTTCTGCAAGCAGGGATAACATAAAGATGCGTAGGGCAATGAGTACTCTAGGACCAGGGTTGGGAACCACTGACCTAAAGGAAGATTTACAGACAGGTATCAATTGTATATTGTGGAAAAGCACTTTCAAGAGCGTTTTACAAAACAAACAGAAGGTTGAGAAGTACTGCTTACCGAAATCATGCGAGCTGGACTGTACCAGAGTTTCCAGTCGGAACACTTTTTGTCTGAAATAGTGGACAGATTGTGAAATTAGCGAACTCTCTCTGTCAGCAGACAGTGTGGCCGAGTTCCAAACTCACACAATCTGTGTACACTCACCTGAACAAGCCAAACAGAAGTTTAGTGGACTCCACCAGTGCTGTTTCAGTCACCCAGGGGAAGCCAAAAATATCTACAGTATCCACTTCAAAATCTGCAGGAGATGGATCCAGCTTTAATAGCAATCTGGAGAAAAACAATGGTGAGTAGAATATGAAGCAGACAGTTTGTAACAGAGAGATAGACAGAAACTTTATTAACGAAGTAATGATATAATTGAGATTAATCACAATAATGATAATGGATTTCCTTAATTATTATAATGATATCGTTATCATAATTAGGGAAATTGCATCGTTGTAGTATCAACAACAAAGTTATCCAAATCATATACAAAACTGAATTGCAGACGCAGAATTGCATAAAATTATTCTAATATACTGCTAATATTCTACAACTTCATAAATTTCAAGTAATTAGTAGTAAACTGTCAAAAAAATAAAGAAATGTTCAAAATGATGAGCACAGCATTAGATGACTGAGAAAGCTGTGTAACATCAAGTCATGATAAAATTAACATCCAGAACACCTCATATTCCAAAAGTGCTGATCAAATCTCAAGGCAGAAAACTTATATTAACTTACATTAATAAGAAATTAATATAAACAGACAATTTCAGTACATTACCTATCATTTAATACCTTCTTGAAATACGACTGGGCAAGATTAAACTGAACAAAACATCTAAAATACTTTCAAGTACCTTCTATTAATTTCTAATATTTAAACAGTACTCCAAAGTTATTATTGAATAAAACATCTAAAATATTGTCATTCCTAACTTTTGAAAGGCAACTGAAGTTTAGTCATCATGATTAAAGGGCCAATATCATAGACAACATTTTAGCTCCGCCCATTCACGCTGAAGTTATAAGGAGTGCTTCATCCTAAACTGCTTTTTCAATCAAGTACAAACAAACCAGGTAGTAAGAACAGAAGTCTTTTAGATGTATCAGTCTTAAGGGCACAGTAACGAAAACTGTCTGATTAATGGGATAAAGAAAGGTTGGAAAATGGTCACACAGAAGTACATTACGACACACTGGTACCTAAAACCACATAAACGTCATTAGTGGACCTCAAAGGAAAATAAAATAAATACAATAATATGATATAATATAATAATAAATAATAAAATATAATAACATATAATAGAAGAATAAAATACAAGAAAAGTGAAATTTTTTTTTGAATGACTTTTAAATTTCAGAACTAAAGCTAGTATTGTCTTAAAATAATGATGCTGCACCTCTTTAGCACTCCTCTGCTGACATAACCGTCGGACGGCAGCGTATGTGTATCTTCTCGTCCTGGTTCATACACACAAGTAAAGCACGGTGGTCGCGCGGCCGGCGCACACACATCCTCCAGCATAAACGGAGAGACAGGCGGAGTGAGAGACTGACTGAAATCATCCTCCATCACACTGCTGAAACAAACTGGAGGAAATAAAACAGAAAAGCTCAACACGCTTAAAGGGGCATTGCAGCCTGAAATTAGCATTTGACATGTTATTTGCATCCATCAACCTCATCAGTTCGACAGAATTCACAATTTTGCGTCCCTTTTGTGTTTTTGGTATATCAAAGTTCTTTCACTACAATACCCAGCATGCATTGTACAAATACATCACTGGGACCCCCCCCCCGACAGCAATAAAGAAATCCACTGATGTACCACTGGTGTAGAGGCTAATATAGACTTGATATTCAGATTCCTAGCTATAATGTTAACTCTGAAGTATCTTCCCAAAAACACTTACAGTGTTCCTCTCACCTTCAAGCTACATCATCAGAAAAGGCTGTTCCTAATCTTTAAACTGGAAAATCTCACTCTCTATTGTGGGCCCACTGCAGGGGGCGAGTAGACATGTTTACCATGTTTTAATAGATATGTCAATGGATGGACTTTTCACTTTGGCCAGAGTGCCCCATTAAAAATACATTTAAAACTTTAGTATTTTTATTACAAGACAAAAAGCTGAATAAGGTGATTATGTAAAACTGACTGGACTAAAATGGTACCACAATTTAGACTAGGCCTAATCCATGTTTAGGAACCTAAGCCTATAGCATGTTTTCCAACTTCAAACCCAGCACGTTAGTGTTTTCCTGCTCCAACACACCTGATTCAGCTCCAGAAAGACTTGATCATTAAAGCGATCCCCCCTTACTCAAAATATAGTGAGTCAGCCAAGGCATGTTTGGTGTCTGAAGTTTGCATCTTTAGTTTTGCACAGGAGCGACAAGGCCAATGTAGATAACAATTAAGGAAAGCTTATAATGTTACAAGGGCACAAACAAAAGGTCATGTCACATGAGAAGCAACATGACTGATGGATTGTGGAGGCACATGGCCTACAGATTATAGTTTCAACTGATGTGACCTGTAGCTCATTAACATGCAGCTTGAATGTTCATGTAATTTTGAAGCTTGCTGTGGTCTGCAACCCTCACAAAACTGTTTTGAGTAACTTACTCTTGGACTATTTCCTGCTGAGTTGTTAAAAAAAAGCAAGAACAGAGCAAGCTCTCCATGTAGGTAAGTGAAATAATTTAAACTATACACAGTTTACACTAGCAGAACACTAAAGAGTGTTTATTTTAGAGCTGCAGCAAATCATTTAAATTGACAATGTAATGTACACTTTTGCTAACAAATCTTGCAGTGTTGCAGGGTAGAGGGTCATGCACAAGCCAAAAAGTCATAAATATAGCAACACTATAACAATCTAAAATGACAGTTTCACATGAATTATTCAGTAAATAGAAAAATAAATGATATCGGTTGAAGGGATGAGTTGCATTTTGAAACTATGTCTAAAACGCAGGGCTCAGAAATTTCATTTCATTTTGAAAATGTTTTTTTTAGCCACCCATCCAGTCAAAAACAGCACATTGTGTCACTGAAAACTGAGATTTTTGTGTGGACTGATAAAATGGAACATACCTTTTTATAAGCACTGGCCTCATGCATGTGGTGTAGAGCTTCAGGACTGTGCACATCTAACATAACTGATGACCAGGATGTTTCTGTGCAGTTGGTAATATCAGGCAAGATTATGAAGTTACCGACCGCACGGAACCTAATTAATATACTATAGCTTTGCTTTATTAGATTGGGGAACATAATTTGTTTATTATTACTGCACCTGTCACACTGTTTAAAATAGCACTTTTAAGAGCAATACAGAAGATCTGTTCCTACATCTATGATAAGAGGCTTTTTGTTTTTTGGAAAAATGATTTACAGCAGTGTTTCTTAATCGTGCTCATAGCGAACCACAGCACTGCACAGTTTAATTTATTCTCTGCCTCAATCCACCTGATCCAGCTCATGAAGGTTCTGTAAGCAGTCAGTTAGCTGGATCAGGTGTGTGGAGTCGAGGAATACTTGAAATCTTCTTCTTTTCAAGACTAATTGATTAATCCAAATCAAAAAGTTTATTTCACAGTACTGAATACACTAGAGTTTATGCTCTCTGGTTACTTTATTGGAAACCCATCCCATGCTGGTGTACAGTCAGAGACTGTAGCTCATCCGATACTGCACAATTTGTGTTGGCTATCCTCTATTCCTTTACCAATGATCAATTTCTTACCACAGTGCTGCTGCTGGCTGGATATTTTGGGTGGTGAACCTAGCAGTGGTACTGATCTGTGTATAAACTCCAGCAATTCCACTGTGTCTAACACACTCATCTAATACGTAGATGAGTGCCTTAGACATGTCAGTGTCTCTGCTGTGTTGAGAACGGTTCACCACTCAAATAACATCTAGTCAACAGCGGCCCAGTGGTCAGAAACTTACCAATGATAAAAGGGGGTAGAGACTGACTGATAAATTGAGCAGCAGCAGATGACCTACAGGTTCTAACTGTTGATCTTTATAGCGGACTTGGTGGTAGGTGGCTCTGATAAAATGACCAGTGAGTGAGTGAAAGTACAAGGTAGGGGTTTCGAATAATATAGACGGTGAATGAATGACATGGGCATGAATACTATAATTTATGTTGTATAAAGCTGAGAAACGATACATAACGATCCGTAATAGATAATAAAAGCGGATAAAAACAAATACAAGTGAACCGAAGTAAATAAACGCTCATAAAGGTTACGTAGCTCTACTGATAAGCAGCTTAGACCGAAGCCAACTCAGCGAACTAGCAGTTAGACTCTAAACTTTCTCAGCGACGTTGTAGCCACTTGTTCAAATATTCGGATATGCCTACAAATCCATATCAAGAGACCAACACTTAATCCAACCTTGAGTCTGTTATTACAGAGTACGTTAAGTGCTCGTGTCTAACTTACCGCTCCGCTTTCAGCTGATTAGACTCCCGCGCTACGAAGCTACACACAGTACGCATGCGTGCGATTGCGTCGTTTCCGAGCGGTCCCCTGTGATTAGTCAAAATTTCTTCGGAAGGGCGGGACGTCAGTGATGGCGACCAATCACAGTCCGCTCTTTGAGAACAGCCGCGCTTAGGCGCGGAGACGGAACAAAACAACGAATGCTTAAAGTCACTGGCTGAATCTCGAACGGCTCCCTACTCCCTACACAGTGCACTACATAGGACGCAAAAGTGTGGCTTTAAAATCAAATGGTCCACTAAATTTTTCTTGTTTATATTCCCTGTATATAAAGAATGTATGTTTTATGTAATAAATATTACTAAATGTTGAAAAATGACCTATTTTTTTCTATTTTCTTATTAAATACATTTGGTGAAGGGTTAGCCTAATTATTCACATGGTTAGTTAAAGGGCCCTGTTATTTATTTATTTGGTTGGTTGGTTGGTTGATTGGTGGGTTGTTTGTTTGTTTGTTTTTGATTCCCAGTTCAGTTCATATGACCACTTTCCAACATCTCCATATATTTTAATATTAAAAAGGCTGGTTTCACCAATCAATTGCTTGCAATCTTTTGTGTCTCATTCACAAAGCAGTCTGGGCTGAAACAATCCTTATAACTTCAGTGTGATTTGGGGGAGCCAAACTTTGGTTGGCTGAATATGAGGCAGTACATGTTTGGTTTTAATAATGTCACAAAAACAATGAATTTGAAACAGGCTGAACAAAAACGATCAAAACTAAATAAAAGCTTGGAGGACCCTGACAAATCTGAGTATGGGGTTGGGGGTGCTGTAATTTCTAGTAGTGTGTAAGGGACAAACACTGTGACATCATGCTAAATATAATGTTTTGCTTTATGTCCTTTTTCGTTTGAATTATGTGGAGAGAGAGAAAACCAGAGACTGCTCTACACTTACAACCACAGCTGATGTACACCTTACTGACTGTGTTTTTTGGAAACATGATTTACAGCAGTGTTTCTTAATCCTGCTCCTAGTGACCCACAGCACTGCACAGTTTAATTTATTCTCTGCCTCAATCCACCTGATCCAGCTCATGAAGGGTTCTATAAGCAGTCAGTTAGCTGGATCAGGTGTGTGGAAGTGAAGAATACTTGAAATCTTATGTACACCTTGCTGACTATGCTCTCTGTTACTGGATGAATTTTATGTAAATGAGTCAAAGTGTTGACCAATCAGAATGTTGATATGAGGTGAGAAACCACTTGTGTTGTGCCCATAGTCAAGCTACATGTACATATCTAGCAGGAGATTATTACAATGGTTGAAAAAAACAACTGAATAAGAGTGAGAAATAATTATGTTGATTGAAATTTTTAAAACAATATTTGGCCAAGTTATACATGCCCAAATAGTTGGGGGTAAGCGATTTAATTCACTCTAAAATGCAATATTGAACTGCTCCAAAGTGCAATGCTACTGGAGATTTTGAACATTCACAAAAAAGTATGTGGACACCTGACCCTCACACCTATATGAGCTTGTTGGACATCACATTCCAAAACCATGGGCATTAATAATAGTTAGCCCCTTTTTTGCCACTATAACAGCACACGCTCATCTGTGAAGGCTTTGCAGAGGGTTTTGGAGTGTGTCTGTGGGAATGTGTGCCCATTCAGTCAAAAGAGCATTTGTGAGGTCAGGCACTGATGTTGAACAAGAAGGCCACAATTGACATTCCAATTAATCCCAAAGGTGTTCAGGGATCTGTGCAGGTCACTGGAGTTTCTCCACATGAAACTCATCAAATCATGTCTTTATGGACCTTACTCTGTGAACAGGGACACAGTCATGCTGGAACAAGAAAGGCCTTCCTCAAACTGCAACCAGAACATTTGAAGCATATAAATATAAAATGTCTTTGCGTGCTGTAGGATTAACATGACCGTTCACTGGAATTAAGGGGCCTGGCCCATTAACCCTCCTCCACCAAACTTTACTGTTGGCGCTATGCATACTGGTAGGTAGTGTTCTTCTGGCATCTGCCAAACTTAGATTTGTCCCTCAGGCTGCTAGATAGTGAAGCATGATTTATCACCCCAGAGAACATATTTCAACTGCTCCAGACTCCAATGGCTGCATGCTTGCCAATGCTTGGCATTGCGCATAGCGATCCTAGACTGGTGTGCAGCTCCTCGGCAATGAAAACCCATTTCATGAAGCTCCAGACACACAGTTATTGTGCTGACGTTGCTTCCAGAAGCACTCTGTAATGAGTGATGCAACAGAGTATAGGTGATTTTTATGCGTTTCATGCCTCAGCACTTGGGAACCCTGCTTTGTGAGTTTGCGTTTTCTTCCAATTTGTGTTTGAGCTGTTGTTGCTCCTAGGTGCTTCCATTTCAAAGTAGCAGCACTTACAGTTGACAGGGGTAGATGTAGGACAGAAATTTCACAAACTGACTTATGCAAAAGGGGACATCCTATGACAGTGCCATGTTTAAAGTTACTGTGCCCTTCAGTATGACCCATTCTATTGTCATTGTTAGTGAATGGAGATTGCATCACTACATGCTTGATTTTAGCAATGAGTGTGGCTCAAACACTTGAACTCGGTAATTAGGAAGGATGTCCACATAATTTTGGCTATGTAGTTTAGAAACAAAATAAAATTAAAACACAAGTTTTCTCCAAAAATGGGTCTTTGCTATGCTAAAAATATTTAAGTGCTCTTTTGTTTGGGTTATTGTTTTTAGCATTTGCAGTCCTGAAAACTGGGAGAGCTGCAGCCCCCTAATTACCCCCACTATTACATCTGTGTGTGTAAGTAATGTTTAGGTGTGAATTACTTCTGAGGGGTTTTCTCCTCTGTCTGAAGCAGCTTCTGCGCAATTCACTTCACATGCTATATTCTGTAAAAGAAATGATGCCTCAGTGTAATCAGCACTAAAGGACACGGCACTGCTGCAAAAATAATGGCGAAATCTCTGAATAGCTCATTGCATGCGCTCACCAAACTCCAGAGAAAAAACACATTTAAATTCCTCTCTAAGACACTGTAGGTGAATAAGCATAGATATAATAAGGCCAAATGCACTTTATTCTCTCACAATGATGAAAAAAGGCATCAGTCTGAAAGTGAAGATTCAGCTGCATAAATTCTGAAATGTTAGAATCAATTACAATCGCCACTACTATTATTGTACTACAGTTTTTATGTTAGCGTATCAGGCCCCAGGAGGAAAAGCAGTTGCACAGAATTGTGTATGTAGCTTCAAAAAGCATTGGAACTCAGCTGCGATCTCACTCAAAATGTACACTAGTGGCCATATTCAGAGAGTGAGTTACCTCCTATTAAGTCTAGTACCTGTCCAAATCTCTCCCTTCAGGCTAAAACTCAGTCAAACCCAAGACTTTGAGGCTAAGAAATAGCACAATTGTAACTATCACGCAAGGCTGTTTCTCAGTTTGTGTGTTCTTGCATTCTTGTGTTCTTGCTCAACACAAATACCAAGACTGGCTCAGAGTAAAAAGTACTCAGGCGTGTCCTTGATGGGCCCTGAATACCAAGGATGCATTGGTTCATGACTTAACGATGAGAACGACCTAACCGTCCCATCATTCAGGAAATTGGCGCCAAACTTCTCAAACATTTGCTTTTTTGTTACAAGTAATACCTAATATGTCAAGTCGAGACTCCATTTAGATGAAAAGTAATGCTGGCGACCTCACCAAAATACCCCAAACAAACCAGCAAGCCTTGTCAAATGTGAGAGTTAAGTGAATTTGGCACTACAGTTTATGTAGCTTGTGTTGTTATCACCAACTTAGAATGAGGTGGAGCAGTGTTTGTGATCCAGAACTAATAATCCAACATGAGTACCTTATCTCACGAATGCTCTTGTGGCTGAATGCCATCAAATCCTCACAGCAATGTTCCAACATCTAGTGTAAAGCCTTCCCAGAGGAGTAGAGGCTGTTAATGCAGCAAATGAGGAACAAAGTCTATATTAGTACCCTTGATTTCAGAAGAAATGTTGGATGAGCAGTTGTTTAAAAACCTTTGGACACATAGTGTATGAAATAACATGGCATTATGAGGTTGCCATAAAAAATCAAAATATCCTCTATTTTAGATTCTTTTAGAAATTAACCCCTTTGCATTGATGCAGCTTTGTAGACTTTTGGAGTTCTTTCAAGGAATTTCATGAGGACCCACCTGAGCATCTCAGGGAGGCTAAGTCTTTCAGAATTAAAGATAATGAGGGGTTCGCCACTCTGTGAAAGGCTGTGCAGGCAAATAGTGCAATAATGTTTCCCAATGTAAAACAGCAAAGAACTTAGGGATTTCATCATCTACTGTACATAATATCATTAAAAGATTTAGAGAATCCAGATAAATCTCTAATCTGCTAGACTGGCCTGCCTGCAGTCCAGACCTGTCACCCATAACAACTCATTGAGACCCTGGACTGTTGAGCAGCTGAAATCCTATACCAAGCAAGATTGGGAAAACTTTTCACTTTCAAAACTACAGCAATTCTCCTCAGTTTCCAAAAGGTTATAGAGTGTTGTTGAAAAAAGAGATGGTGCAACACAGTGGTAAACATGCCCCCGTCCCAAATTTTTTGAAACGTGCTGCTGGCATCAAATTCAAAATGTACATATATAATAAAATCTCTCAATTTCAACATATGTTGAAATGATATGATATGTTGTCTTTGTACTATTTTTATTTAAATATAGGGTTTAAATGATTTGCACAACATTGCATTCTGTTTTAATTTACATTCTGCAGAGTGTCTGAACTTCTTTGGAAATGGGATTGTATGTAAGTGAGTTGGCTCTTGTGACATTACAGAAACAAAGAAGACCAAACAGTCCGTTTTTGCCACATGGTTTCCATATATGGATTGGGGAGTGAATCGTATGTTTCGAAACTGACAATGCTTACACATTACTTCGAACTCCTTTATTTACAAAAAGGCAGGGAGACTTGTTTTTGACAAAAATGATATTTAAGCATAAGCTTTTAGATTAATGTATCTTAAAGATAATGAAAAACATACATTTGATCAAGTGGCTCCACACTTTTCACACTCCATTTTCCTACCTTACATCTTTTTGCACTTTTTTCTGGAAAACTCTTTTAGTTATGGTGGTAACGAAGCAAAAAGTGAATACAGTAATGCATGCACTTTAAAATGACCTGCTCTGTGACCTCTGAGGCTAATAGGAATGTGTATAATGACCCTTTTTTAAAAAGTGACACGCGGTTAATACTGTACAATGAGGGGACATAATGAGTCGTCTTTTACTCTTTATTGGGTCTCCCCCAACACGGTTCAGCCATTGTGCTGCAAATCGGCCCTGGTTTGCTTTATCTGGGCCCTGTGGCTTCTGTTTGATCAATTAAAGTGGTGAAAGGCCTCTTCAAACCCATGGCCCTTTCAGCTCTCAGCCCAGGAAAAATATAAAGTTATCAGTCTTCCCAAGCGATATGGGGACAGGAATAAGTGGTTTGTCTATAAAAATGTCCAGGTGCTTTATCAGCGTCCCTCTAGGGCCTTGAGGCCCAGAGCATGATGTTCAGCTCGTGGAAAAAAATACATTTATTCTTATTTCTCTCTTTTTCTCTCTCTCTCTCTCTCTCTGCCCTGGGCCTGTTGGCTTAGTGGGCATACATCCTTGCCAAGCAGAATGGAAAAGTTCAGTTAAGAAGAACATAGCTCTCTTCTCTTCTCTCTTTCTACGTTGCCCCTACAGGAAAAAGTGACAACCAGTATTTGGTTGACCCATTCTTTGCTGCTGTTTACATAATTTTCCCTTAACCTCAATATAGTCGATCAACTGAATATATTTGAAGTTCAATTCTTTAGCCTGATTTTATCTCCACCACAGGGTGAAAGTGTAGTCAAAGTCTCTCTCTCTCTCTCTCTCTCTCTCTCTCTATATATATATATATATATATATATATATATATACGTATATATAAAACAAACCATTGAAAATGCCCATTTCCACTATCAGGGCAATAATTAAGAAGTTTAAAGCAAGAGGAGATATTGAGAATGTGGCAAGAAGAGGACATATGTCCATATTGACCCCACTCACAATGAGGAGGATGGTTTGAGTGGCCAAAGAATCTCCAAAGATCACAGATTTGGAATTGTGGACATTAGTTAGGTCTTGGGGTAGAACGTCTCCGAACTACAATCAGACACCACCTGCGTAACCACAAGTTGTTTGAGAGGTTGCCAGAAGAAAGCCTCTGCTGTCAAAGACCAACAAATTCCTATTATTTGCCAGACATTACTGGGACCCTGTTCCTTGGTCAGATCAGACCAAAATAGAGATTTCTGGCAACTAACACCAGAGGTGGGTTTGGCATAAACACAAAGATAACTATGCAGAAAACAAAGACAGCCATGAAGAACCCCCCCAATACCCCCATCCCCCAACCGTGAAGTACGGTGGTGGTTCTGTGATATTGTGGGGCTGTTCGGACACTGGACAGCTTGTTCAGATACATGGTATCATTGGCTCCATCAAGTTTCGGCAGAAATCAAATCAAAACCTTACTGCCTCAGTCAAGAAGCTTAAACTGGACCATGGCATCTTCCAGCAGAACAATGATACAAAGCACACCTCAAAATGCAACACAAAAATGGATCACTGACCAGAGAATCAAGGTTTTGCCATGACCACCCCAGTCCCCTGACCTAAACCCCATGGAAAATCTGTGCGATGAGCTGAAGAGGAGAGTCCACAGTGTGGACCTCTGAATGATCTGGAGAGGTCATGTGTGGAGTAATGGTCTCAGATTCTTTGCCATGTGTTTACCAGTCTCATTAAGCATTAGAAGAGAATTCTTTGCAAATGGAGGCTGCAGAAAGTTTTAAATAAAGGTGTGCCAACACATAGACACACAGCTGTGGCCCACATCGATTTGAGAAAAATATTTATTTCATGACAAGATTTAGGTTTTTCTTTCAGTTGTTATACTTCAGATGAAGGTTGTTAATATTTTGAATAAAAGATCAAAGATATATGCAATGAAGAATATTTTTACAGACAATTTCACCCAAAACGCATGTTTTTTCAGCTTGATCATTCTACTGAATTGGTTCAAAGTCAGAGTTGAAAACACATTTTGGACTTTTAACAGACTTTGATTTTAGACTAAAATCATTTTGCTCTGAGTGACTTTATGCCTTAATTATGTTCATTTAATTAAAAAAAAATGATTGTACATTCTCACTAAAAAACAATCATAACAATGCAGAAATTTTACCAAATGTTTTGGAAGTGACAGTTTCCGTACTGACAGTTTTGATTATTGACAATGTTACTCAGAAATGGTGGTCGGTACAGTTTTAAATAATTGTACCCACATAAAATCATCATTTTTTATATATTAAAACACAAAATGTTTCCTTAACTGCAGAAAATATATGTTTTGATAGTGACAATTCTTACTGTTACACAATTTCGTACATTTTAAAGCAATAAGAACTAACTGCTCAACATGTGGCCATGAGGGACAAGGATGTAGTATCAATTCCTGCTGCTAAATGCAGGGGTGTGGCTAAGCCAAGGCCCCACCTATTGATTAAAATGCTTTCTGTTCCAGTAGTGACATGAAAACTTGGAACGGCATTTTCTGAATGAAGTTTTTTCTTCAAAAATTAAATTCATGATTAATCTAATTCTTTCAACTTCACTTTAAAAGAAATCTTAAAAAAAGCACAAAAACAAACAAAAAAAATGTGAGCATTATTTTCACGAGTTGAAATGTAAGGGTTGGGTTTAAGACAGCCATCTGCCAATAGAAAGTACCCTATGTGGCTTAGCCAATCAGATAATAGAAACATATTTATATGTTTTGTAAATTAGATTAAAATTAGATTTTAGTTAGCATAAATTAGCTTTAATAAAACAATTCAAAAAGGGACATTTCTTGCAATAAGTGGTAAAAGTGGTTCCTTAGGGCCCCTGAGCCACAAAAGGCCCCATGAGCGTGTATGTACAGTCCATTTACGGAAACTAATCTGCAAAAAACAGCCTGTTTTGAATTGTTTTCAGTCTGTTTTGAAACTGTTACACACATTTAGCCTACAACAGTAAAGCCCCGCCTATTCACACTGAAGTTATAGTCAAGTCAAGTCAAGCCAGCTTTATTGTCAATACTACAATGTACAGGACATACAGAGTATTGAAATTGCGTTACTCTCAGACCCCATGGTGTAGCAATAACATTAAATTGACAGTAAACAGGAAAAGTGTGAATTTCGTAATCGTAAAAATAAACACTAATTGTAGAAAAATAGAATAATAAAAATAATATAAATATGGTAGGTCCTGAAATTAACACTAAAGTGACATAAGGCACATACAGATTAAGGTCTGTGTGTATAAATAGTGCAAATATAAACAGTAGTGCAATTATAAGACCATCACGATTCGGGCCAATCAGAAGCCATGGCTGACAGGGGAGGTCTACAGGCTACTGAAGGCTAGGAATGCTGCCTTCTCAGCAGGAGACGAGGTGGGCCTGAGGGCAGCTAGGACCAACCTGTCCCGTGGCATCAGAAAGGCAAAGAGGTAGTACTCCAGGAGGATATCCCATCGCTTCAGCGACAGCAGAGATACACGGAGCCTGTGGCGGGGCCATCACACAAGCCCCCACCGCAGACCCGTGACAGCTCCACCTCTCTGCTGAATGAGCAACTTCTTCGCCCGGTTTGAGACATACAACAACATGCCTGCATGAAGGAGTGCTTGAAGTGCATGAAGGAGTGCTTCATGAAGTTTATGAGAAATAAGAATAATGAAAAAATTTATTATGAACACAAAAGTTATATGTGGGCCTAGAACTAAGAAAATGGTATGGCCCCTTTATTTGTTTTGCAATGCATTTATTTGTATTTGGATTTTTTATATAGATAATGTAGTTGTTTAACTGTATATAATGAATGATTGTTGCATTGTGGTTACCTTAGCATGCATTACTATTATCACCTTTTATAAACTTTTTCAGACTAAAATTAATGAAGTGTTAACTGTGGTTTGGTGGGTGTCACCAAGTAGGATCCCACCTATAGCCCTCGAATGTTCAGAAACAGCCCTGGTAAAAACACCAGCTTTGGTGTAACATTATCAGAGGTGTAAAGCTAATGGATGTTATCCCAACCTGCACACTCCTTCTAGCTTCTCCTGGACTGAACTATGTGCTTTCTGCGTGTAGTAAAGTGTTTTGTGAATACAGCCAGAAAGGGTTTAGATAAATGTGTCATTTGCATGCAGATAGCAGCGTACAGTAGGAAAGCGCTGTGTCTCCGGGTTGGAGGTTATTTGCATTGCAGTGTGGAAAGAGAGTGTGTGTAGGAGGAGAGGAGAACAGAAGCTGCTGGAGAGTGAAGGCCCCGGGGGGACGGACCTGTTCTGCTGGACCGGTAATGTATGTGATTACACAAAGCTAAAAGCTAAACGCATATTAAACTGCTTTCAGTGTCTTTGCCGAAGCATTATGTTCAGTGGCAAATTATTTCTTCAGACTCATGCGGTGTAGAATGATCTCTTTTGCAAAGAAGATGCTATCAGCGTTTCAGTAGTGTGCAAGTCGAGTCAATTTCTTTATTGCCATATGTGCAAAGAAGTGGATTTCACTGCACAGTTAAATCCTTTGTTTTGAGGTTCCATCTTAGTGCCACTGACAAAGAAAGACACATTTTACTGTCGGAGCAAAACCTTGTATCTCCAAAATGGTAACTTTACACAAGAAGGAAAAAAACATCCTTTCAACTTTCAATGGAGTTTAATGGGACAAGATTTTATTGTAAGTCGTTTTTGCAGTTTCTGTTGGTCCATTCATTATAAAATGCACAGAGCCTGCACCTACAGTACTGTGCAGAACTCACCATCCTTCAGTTTTTAAATTTCTGGTCAAAATGCCCATTATGTACAAGTTACTCATTTTTCAGAGTCAGGGAAAAAAAGCAGAAAACATAAATTTAAAAGAAAATTACAAAGAAGACTCTTTATTTTATGAATATTTATTTTTCAGTATTCAGCGTGGCCACCTGGCACTTCCATTTTTTTTTTTGAGAGACTTGCTTTCAATTTTTTAAATGGGATACTTTTCCACACCTCCAAAGTTCAGTCTTAGAAGTTGGTAGCATTTCCTGCTTCTCACAATCCAAGCTATTCCAAACACATTCAGTGATGTTGAGGTCTGGACTCTGGGGTGGACAGTCCATTATTTGATGACACCAGCTGCTTTTTTGTTTGATTTGAAAATGTACTTTTTTGTCTATTTCCATTTCTCATCATTGGCTTCTGGACAGCTACACGTATCACTAAACTGTGTTCTCACAGTGAAAGGATGAGCTCAAAGATGGAAGTACTGTTTATCCGACGGTGACAGTTTTGCTGGTGTACCACGTCTTACATGGTTGTTAGGAGTCCTATTTTCTCCAGATCTTTAAACAACTCCTGTTTTTTTTATTGTTTATCATTATTTTTTACTTTCACTTTCCTCTTCCTAATGCAAGAGGATTATCTTATTTCTAATCCCCTCAGAAATATGCCCTGATGAATGAATAATGTGTACTTAATGGCTATTTTGACTGGAAGTTAAGTAAATATAGTAGGGTTTGACTTTTCCACAGTACTTTACATAACCTCTAAATTGCCTCTAATCTGTAAACTGCTGCTGTTCGTAGCTCATATGCTTTTGCTTTTTTTTTATTTATGAAGGTTGGGATTATACCAGCTTGTAGGGCTGTGTGATAAAATTGTATCATGATATCTTTTTACATATTGATGATTTTGTCAGATACCAAATTTCCTACTTTCCCTACTTACCCCAAGTGTAGTTTGTTTCTTTAGATGTGCTGTGGGGCCAAAGGCTAGTTCAGTTAAGTTTGAAAGTGTATACCCACTAATTAGAGACATGCTAACTGCATGCCTAAATCAGATCACAGTTGCCTCGTCAGTAATAAAAAAAACCTGCTTATGTGGATTTTGAACTTGTATGATAAACTGTTTTCTATAAAAATGGAAAAACATACAGCAAAATGTGGGCTTCAGGATGACTGCTGCTACCGTGTTTAGCTAGCAGTCAGGGCACAGTCCATGTAGATGAGCTCCAGTGGAAAAATAAAGAAGCAAGACAAACACGTCTTGGCTGATCACACCATTTAGGTTAAGGCAGAAAAACAGTTAAACTTTTAAGGTTTTGCTGAGTTACTGAAACATCCTACTACTTATGCTTTGCATGTAATCTACATGTGTTAACAGCACTATTAGAGTAAGGAAAGCACATGCGGATTACCACTAGAGAACAAAGCTTATGGTTGATATCTTTGCTCTTTATCTTTACAGCACAGCTATTGTGCCAAGCAGTATGTGTAAAGGCTTGTGTTGAAATATTTTATGTAAAGCACACAGTTGATGGCATTCTCCATTCCAAACTTATAACTTCAATCTCATTTTCTTTTGCTATGATGTTAATTTATGCTACATCAAAGATACGGCTAAATATGAATTTGATATCTAAATCGTAGGGGTGTACAGGTATTTTAGGTTCAGTATGCTTTTCAGGTCAAGATTGATTTTTGATTTAATGTGGTAAAAATGTCTTGATTCTACAGAGCTCGAACTACATTAGTTTGGCCTTAAATAAATCCAACATTTATTTCAAAACAAAAGGTTGTCAAGTAGCAGGTCCCTGTGCAAGACAGTGATCTATGAACAATACAATCTATGAACATTGCAAAAATATGAGTTACCATAGCATGCCTCCCTTAAAATAGGCTGTTAGAACAAACATGTCACAAAATATGTGCAAAATCTACACTGAATCTAACACCAGCATTCACTATAATCAGGGCCGCTGTAAAAGGATGGAAGAGTGCCTTGAATAAACACGGCACCTTGCCTGCTTTGCCACTCGTACAGAACTAAAATCGTTATCCAGCTTTAATGTGACAGTAACCGGGCGAACAGACGTGCAGATGGACGGATAGACGAACAAACGGATGGACAAGGCAACGTCTAAAAGAAGGAACAGACGAACAAACAGTGTTCGTGTGTGGGTAAACTACTGAACGAGCAGCTACAGACAGAGTTTCCAGCTTGCTAGCTTTTGGTTATGTTGTGTTAGCTTTAGCTCGCTAGTTTCTCCGACTCTGAAACTGTGATGTGTGGGCGGGTCAACAGACGCCAGCCTCGTGATTGGTAAGGGGAATGCTTAAAGAACCGTTACCCGAGATTAGGACATCTCAGTTTACATCGGGAGGAGAGAAATATGCAGGAATATATCGGTTTATTTATTGGTCATAGGAACATGTATACAAGGGGTAAACTTAAAACTCTTTACCCTCCCCTTCTATATTTAGGTCTGGATAAAGTACAAATTAAGACCAGTTCCATGTTCTAAAGATTTCAGAATATACTGTTGGATAAAGGAGTATGTTTGTGGAGATTTTAGTGCGCTTTGAATAATACTAATCAACAACAGTTCATTATAGAGTTTTGCTTTCAAAATTTTGCTGATTTTAATTTCCTACTGTTACACTGTTATAATAATTACGCTGTTTTGAACATTCATTTCTTTTTAATTTCTCAGTACTGTATTGACGTCAAACTTTTACTGAAATTGTCCCATTCAGCACCTTTATATGATACATCTTACCTCAACATAATACACTAAGGAAACCAATCAAAATGTTGCTAAGGTCATGGTTAGGGTTCTTAACAATTCCCTCAAATCTTTAGATGATACATCTTACCTCAATATAATACATTAATGCATTGTTTTCCAACACAAGTCCTGGAGATACACTGCCCTGCACATCTTAGTGTTATCCCTGCTCCCAACACACCTGATCCAACTAATCAGCTCATTAACAAGCCATAACTGAGTTGAAGCAAGTGTGTAAGACAGGAAAAGCACTAAAATGTGCAGGGCAGTGTGCCTCCAGGGCGACGGAGGAATAAGGGGACCAGTGAAAGGACTCTAAGGTCAATGTTAGGGTTCTTGGGTCAACGAATTGTCATATAGGGGACAACAAAAAGCAGTTATTTAAACAGGCATGCTCTTGCCCTGTGTGAGCTAATTAGTACTCTAAGTCAACTTTATAATGTAAATAATTGTTAGAGAAGTGTAGGAATGTAGCATATATAAACTTTGTGAATTAGTTCTTTTGCTAGTTGTGTAGCTTTATAACATAAAAAAGTAACTGACATCAGCAAACATGTATAACATTGTTTTGAAATATGAGTAATGGACAAAATGGACATTCTGTGAGATCTGCTCCAAAGGTTTACATTTGTGTTGACCCGACCCCTTTCTTCGCCAGTGGGCTAGTACAATGATGGAATGGCCCTTAAAATGGCATCAGGGATTCCCCCCAATGGGAAATGGTGAAGGAAATTGACGAGGGCATTTTAAATTAGCGTTGGAATGACAGGTTGATGTTCTGCTTGAAGACATGCTCAAAGATTCCATTGTTAGCACAAATGCCAACTTTGGTAGTGTTTTGCAGTGTAGTTGTTAAATCCTTTATATCACTCAGTAGATTCTCATTCTTGTTCACTGACATGTACAACCAGAGTGTGCTTTGATAAAGGAATGTATTAAGAAGCGGCAGGTCCATAAATACAATATGTACAGTTATAAATATATCAGACGTATAAATGTAAGTGTTATTTTTCATGGTTATGAGAACATGATTCAGAAAACGTAGCACTAAAATGCTGGGCCATGAGAGGGCAGAGCTGTATTTCAATAACTCCTTTTAACTGTGCCATGAAATGCAATTTTCACTTGTTTTGAGCGTCCCTCGGTTTTGGCACTGTAAATTTTTTCTTACATTTCGATGGAAAGTGATTTACAAAACCTGCAGTGAGCTGGATTTTTGTCTTTTTATAACATTTATAAAAGTGTTTTTATTGTGTTTAAATGCTATTTTTAATTGTGTCAGTTGTACACAATGTTTTAATATGAAGAAAGCTGCAGGCACAGTTGATTAAGGTCGTTCTTGAAGTCTGAGATAGAGACCCGGATTTTAGATCAGTAATCCAGTTTTTCAGTTAATTTGTACCCTTATTCTGATTTCTTTGTTTTTTCTTAGTCTGGGCATATGTGCAAACAGAGTGTAGAGGTGTCCCAAATATAGCAGGCAGCGTTTGACACAGCACCAGCGAAAGGGCAGCAAAACACTTCTGGAGAGATGTGTTTCCTACTACATACTTGACCAAATGACGTATTTAAAAATTCTTAATGTTCTAAATAATGTATATTAGTATTTGCTGGTAAAGTGACTACATGATTACAAAACATGTTTATTGGCAAATTGCAAAGCAGAAATCAGATAACTGCGTTTTCCCATTGTCTAATCACCAAGGTGCATGTAACCACATTGAATGAATTACCAGATTGGATTATTAAATACATGTAAACACACTCTTGTCCTTGTGCATCCAGTGGTAGAATTACAGGGAAAAACACATCATTTGATCATATTCATTCAAAATATCAGTCAATTTCCATTTTGCTGGTGGAATGGCCACTAGGGATCAGCAGAAAGGGAATAAAGGAAGATATGGACTTGGGAATAGAGGGCAAGGCTGGGAACAGAAAGCTCTTCCGAAAATTACAAAGAGGGAAAGCAGGGCCTTTAAATTACAGGGACTTGGAAAATGTTAAATTTCCTGGTAATTTCAATGAGCAAATAAACGGCCTGGGAACATACGGATGACCTCGATAGCTACTATTGCTGTTTTTTAGCATACTTTTGTCCATAGACAACAGTGTGTCAGTGTTGCAAACCACATAAGGAAGTTTATAGTGCGACACAGTTTGAGGCAACTGTGTAATTATTTAGTCATGCAGTTTGCGCAGTGCTAACTGCTAATAAGCTTCCATTATGTCTTGGCTACATTAGCCTCGTAGCTTGAGTGCAAAACTAAAGAGGCAAACTTTAGACACAAAACATGTCTTGGGTGATTGACAACACTTGGGCTAAAGTGGCGGAGTTGAGTAAATTTTAAACTATTGCGTTAACAGTCCATTGAGTTTCACAGCACAACTAACAGTGTAGTGTCCTTCTGGCCAGCTATCTATCCACTATCCACATTGTTTTTATTACAGGTCATGTCATGCGTCCAGCCCTGCTGACTGTGCTGTGTGTGTTGCGGTGGTTCTGCCTGGCCACTGGGGGGCAGCGCTGGACTAACACACATGTTTTCTACGCGGTGGAGCTGGAGGGAGGCAGCAGGGCTGCAGGAGCTTTGGCCCAAAAACATGGCCTGCGCTTCATCTCACGGGTCAGCGCTTATTTCAAACTGCTTTTATTATACTCACCCACCACACCCCCCACCAATTCACTCCACCTTTCTAAATCCGTTTACTGCGGGTCTTTTATAAGCAGAAATTCAGAAAGTGCTGACCGCTACTTCCATTTTAAGGATATCTGACTTTCATCAAATTACAATAGGGGGGTTTTGAATATTTCATGTAGTCCATGTTTGATTAAAAAAATCCTTTACAAACGGCAACTCTAGGAGATTCTCACAAAAAATCCAATAAGAAAAAAGAGGAAAGAAATGCAAATCATCATACATTAATGAACCAGCAACACCCAATTAAGCTGTTTAGCTTTAATCAACATGTGCTACAGTAAAACTGATGATAAACCGGAAAAGAAACTCATAGAATATTCTTAAGTTCATCTCCACTCAGCTTTATTTGTGAAGCTACCTTTTGTAGCTTGAAGTTGTCACAAAGCAGTATATATATTTCATAAAACTGAGGATAAACTACATAGAGTCTTATGCACAGGTTTCAGCAACCTGGTCAAATGTTTTATTGATCTTCAAGTGAAAGTAAAAACATCCTTTACAGAGAACACACTTTTGCACAGTTCAATGCACAATTGCTGATTACTTGCTGAATTTAATTTGTTTGGAAAAAAATAAGACATAAAATGTAGTTTGTGCAAAAGTTATGGCACATTTTACATTTGATCCTTTTCTTACAATATGTTAAACATGGGAAATAAATAGAAATAGTGCACTTAAATGTGTGGTAAAATCATATATGTCATATATAAGTTTGTTCCCTGTAGAAGATGTGCTAACTTATCTTCACTTAGAAAATCAAAAAACATGTAATTTGACCAGGGGTGTTTATACTTGAGCATTTGACTGTAAAAGCAATAGACACCAGTATATGAGTACAGCAAAAAGAAGTAAAATGAAGTGATCACTGTCATATAAAAGAATCAAATCAAATACATCTCTGAAAAACATCAGCTGTCATACATTGTATGAACACTTCATGTTGAATGGACCGAAAGAAATGGTGCAAAATTATTTGGAATAAAATCTTTTTTATTATGTGCATAATAAAGTGATGGTTTATAATCAGATATATCGGATATAATGATTCTAATAAGAATAGAATTATGAAAAAATAAACACATTTACTGCAGTTTTATAAAATACAGTTTGCATTTAAGTAAAAGTCAATACAGTACTGTGCTGAGACCAGCCTTCATTTATTTAATTTTCAGTTAAAACAGCAATTAAGTATAAAAAATGTAGAAAACATACATTTAATGGAAAATTACACAAAAGCCTCAACACCTAAATGTAGTATTTCAGTTTTCAGTCTTTAGTGTGTCCACTTTTTTGTCCTACCCCTTTTTACAGCTTCCATTCTTTTTAGAGACTTACTTTCAGTGTTTTAATGGAATTTGCAGGAATATTTTTCCACACCTTTAAAGTTCAGTCTTCTCATGATGCTTCTCATGATCCAAGTAATCTCAAATACATTCAGTGACGTTGAAGTCTGGACTCTGGGGTGGTCAGTCAGTTGTTGTGAGAACATCAGCAGCTTCTTTGTTCAATGTTCTTTATTTCTGTTTTCTTTTCTCAGTAACAGCTTTTTGACAGCCACACATCCTTTCAGACTCATAGCATTGAGTTGTCTTTATCACTTCAGAGAATGCAATGCTGGGGGCTTTATACCCCTCTAGCTGATGCTTGACATTGGACATGGTACCCTTAGGCTCATGTGTGGTGGCTCCAGAGCATCCCATTTTTTTGATAATGCTTTTCTATGGGGATTATATAAGCCATGTGTTCACAGTTGAACACCTGTATCATCAGTGGGTGCACCTTAAATTACCTCAGTTCACTAATTAGAAGGGGTGTCTGGACACTTTTCTCATACATATGAGAAAATGTGTATATCTGCAGGTTTATCATTTAGCCTCAGTGTTCAGGCCTAGATTCTGTAACTCATGAATTGTGCATGAGTTTGACCTTTTGCTTCAGCTTATTGGCCAGTGAAGGCACCCTGCTGACCTACTTGCTGCCTGGCGCTGTGAGCTATAACCCCCTCCCAACTCTTCCTCACACACTCTTCCTCAGGAGTGTGTGGACAGCAAGTGTCTGGACCACCTGCTGTGTTTTAGTCGTGTGTTTAACTCGGCTTTAAGGCCAGCACTGTTACTGGCACGCGCACATATATCTACTCTGACATGAATATAAGGATAAAGCATGTGCAATATCTTAAACAGTCAAAAAATATTCAACTGTTTGTAAAACCAATAGGGTAACAGTAACAAATGAACTTGTTTCGTATTGTTTAGCTTTCAACCAAAGGTCAGTATGAGGTGCTGCAGTTTTGAAATATTGAAATATTTACTAATATTCAAAAATTTAAATATATGATGTACCCAGTTTTTTTTACCCAGTTTCCCTCGTTACTTCAAGGGTAGTCAGTCAGCTAAGGCATGTTTGATGTATTTAAGTTTGCTTCTTTAGTTTTGCGATGGAACTACAAGGCTAATGTAGCTTAGTAATGTCTAAGTAATGAAGTGCACTGGCCTTTCTTGGGGGTTCACACTGTTTTTGGATCGCTCCTTCTGGCTGCTTGTCTCCTTGTTGCCAAGCAACTATAGCATTGTAACTGTCAATCAGCTGTGATAGCTGACCATAGTTTCAGTATGAGATGCACTTATAATATTTTATGTGGCAAAACTGGTTGTAATTCCTTTGTACAGGACCATTTCTAATCTCTATCTATCCCTTTATCCCCCAGGCTGATTTTCCTACTGTGTCTTTAAGACTGATACAAAATAAATTATCACTGCTCTGATTGGGGGCAGCACGGTGGCGCAGTGGGTAGCGCTGTCGCCTCACAGCAAGAAGGGCCTGGGTTCGGTTCCCGGCTGGGTGACCGGGGTCCTTTCTGTGTGGAGTTTGCATGTTCTCCCCGTGTCTGCGTGGGTTTCCTCCGGGTACTCCGGTTTCCTCCCATGGTCCAGAGACATGCAGTCAGGCCAATTGGACATGCTGAATTGCCCCTAGGTGTGAATGTGTGTGTGATTGTATATGTATGTCTGTCTGCCCTGCGATGGACTGGGGTGTATCCTGCCTTCCTCCCAGTGACAGCTGGGATAGGCTCCAGCACCCCACCGTGACCCAGAAGGATAAGCGATTTAGATGATGTATGTATGCTCTGATTGGCTGACCTTTATATTGCCTTATTCAAAAAGCAGTTTGGGTTCAAACACTCTTTGTAACTTCAGTGGGAATAGGTGGGGCTAAAATGCTATTGGCTGAATCAGAGAATGTATGTGAGTGTGGCTTGCGTGACATCACAAAAAGAGTGAATTCAAAATGGGCTGTTTTTGCAGCTTGTTCTGATATAGGTTCTTCACAGACTGAACGGTACTTTCTGAAACCTTACTACGTCAATCTCTTCAATTAAATAAAATTGAGAAAAGTTCAGTTTTCTATGGTATGTGCTTTTTAAATATAAATGGGTGGAGCTAAACTGTTGTAGGCCAAATAAGTGGATATAAATAAATGAGTTGGTTCTTGTGACATCACAGAAATACGTATTCATAAAGGGACGTTGTTGCAGCTTAGTTTCCATATCGTCCATATCTTACACTCTTAAACAACATTTTTTTTACATTGTAGCTGCTTTTGTCTGCTTTTTATCTTCGATAATTTCGATCCGTGAAGTTCAGGGTACTCAATGTCACTGAAGGCCCACTTTCCTTTTGATCTGATTTGTCAGCACAGAAAGGCTGCTTGTAGGGCTGTAGGCTGCTTGACCACTGCAAGTTGATCTTGAGTAACATGCACGTAAAACAGTGTACCTTTCTCCCATTGATAACAACCACCATGGTTTTACCCTTATTAACAATACATATAAATCTAATTACATATAAATAATTCACATGAAGGTTCACTGGTCATTTTGGACAGTAAATAAAATGGCTATATTTGTGTTGTAGATATTAAGACCCCTGGCTCCTGTCATCAACGCTGTAAAGAACTCTTGAGTTGTTAAATTTCTCTGCAATTGATCATTTCACATCAGACCACTCTGAATGACTGAATCATGCAGAAATTTTGACAAGTTCCCATTTAACATATAGTACAAACTTATCTGGTCTAATGTCTGTATGTAGGACTCATAATATGTATGATGATATTACATTTTCCATGGCGTTTTCTGTGTCTTATCCTTATTTTTCTTTGCCAATGTGCTACAACTACTGCCAACTCCTCTCCTCTTGATTCTTGCACTTCTTCAACTGCTGTTTGTTTATTTGTCCTCTGTGTCATAGTGTTTACAAAGATATACTTTACATGAAAAGAAAAAAATATACTTTACTTTTAATGTAAGTCAATGGAACCAGACTTTTTTTCCCAAGTAATTAGAGTTAGTATCGGTATCAGTACTCTGTACTAACCGATACTTAAGGATCAGGTATCAGTATCAGAAGAGAAAAAGTGGTAGCAGTGCATCCCTAAAAAAGGAGTTAGAGAAAAAATGCAGTATTCAGTTTACATTTTCATGATGAAAAAATCAATTACTAGCAGGATTACATTGAAACCACTGTTACAGGCCAAAAAACCTTTCAGATGAAGAAAATGTGACATTATTTCATTTACCCATGTTTGATTTTTGCATACATTTGCAGGTCCACATGAATGACCTCAAGACATTTTGATTTGAAGGCATATGTTTAAAGGCTTGAAATTTGTTTCTAAGACAGTGGTGTCTAAACTTATCCGCAAAGGGCCGGTGTGGCTGCAGGTTTTCATTCCAACAATACAGGAGCACACGTGATTAGTTGCTGAAGACAAAAACCAGCTGATTAAACAAGTGGAATCAGGTGGAATCAGCTTGAGCTCATTTAGAATGAAAGCCTGCAGCCACACCAGCCCTTTGCGGATAAGATTGGACACCTCTGTTCAAGTAAATTTAAAAAAATTTAAAAAGCATGTTGGAAAATCAT